TTCTGCAGATCCTTGTACACTTCTATTTGTTTAAGAGGTAATGGAAGCTCACTCAGAAGTAGAATAATACATTTTGAGTTTAATTTCACTTTTTACAAAGTCTTTTAACCAAATGTTAAACTAATATGTAATGCATGATATCTGCAAATAGAAGTTTTACTTAGACCCACTACAACTGCAACACTCTTAGTTTAAAGAGTTAAAAGCAAAACAAGGATTTAAAATAAAACATTGATGGTAAAGCTAAAACAAATAAAAGTATAAAACCATAAACATCAATAGATCAGTCAAGCAAGGTATTCTATCTCTCACCATATAACCTTTGGAATAATTTGGCTTTCAAAAGTTCCAGAAGGACAAACAGTGGGGGACAATCTAATTTCTGAGGGGAGGCTGTTCCACAGTAGAGACAAAAAATTTCTTCCACAGTACTGGTACTCAAGTGCTTTTCAGTCTCCACCCACTATTCCTCACAGAAATGAAATGGGTTGCACAAGTTGGGCAGGCCAATTTTGTTTTCAGAATAAATCTAGAAAGTGTTTTTCTATAGAAAGAAATAGGCCTCCTTGAAGATGATGACACCTGGTAACGAGAAATTGCATATACAGTATATATGTGTGGGTATAAGCAAAGCTTTCCTACAGAAATCAAAGTTGTATGCTGATAAATCATAATAGACTCATGACAGCTTACAATGTTATAAAACACAGTTTTCCAGGAATCAAGTAAAACAAAATAGTAAAAATAATATATACAGTAAATAACATAAAATGAGTAAACTAGGTAACAAAGTTCAGGTGACATACAGACATTTCTCCAAAGGTGGTCCATAAGATTTCAGTTTTAACAGCCCTCCAGAAGGATGCCCAGGATGGAAGGAAGTCTGTCTTCTAGTGGGAAGCTATTCCAAAGTAGGGGGTCCATGAAGGAAAAACAACACCTGGCTTCAGTCACCCTCACATCATGGAATTGGAGCATCACAAGCAGCTTTTCTTGGGAAGATCTCCTTGGATAGTTGAAGTGGAGCCAGTTTGGTCTAGTGGTTAAGGCACCAGGCTAGAAACCAGGAGATTGTGAGTTCTAGTCCCACCTTAGGCATGAAAGCCAGCTCAGTGACTTTGGGCCAGTCCCTCTCTCTCAGCCCAACTCACCTCACGGGCTTATTGTTATGGGGAAAATAGGAGGAGGAAGGAGTATTAGATATGTTCGCCACCCCAAGTTATTTATAAAAATAATAAAGGCAAGATTAAAAAATCTAAAAAAAAAAGTGGTTCTGAAGGCACCTTGTTGCCAAAGCACATATAGATATATGTAAGTCAAAATCAGCACTTTGAATTGCACCAGAAACTTATTGATAACCAGTGCAGGACCAGAAAATAGGCATAATATGACCATAGTGACTACAGCAAGTCAAAATGTAGCCTGCTCAAGTGGCCTTCAAATGCAGCTCCATGTAGAATGCTTTGTAGAAGTCTGCCTCTATAGCGATAGAGTTGCTGTAGCCAGGTCCTTCTGCTGCAGGAAGAGCCATATCTCTTAGCTGGATCTGGGCAAAGGCTGTCCTGGCTACAATTCCCACCTCTCCAGAGCCCATCCTGACCACAGCCTCTGCCTCTCCGTCTGGCAATAACTGCAACTTAGGGGGAAAAAACCCAAGCCACAAACCTATTCCTTCAAGGGCAATGCCACTCCTTGAGAGACAGTTCTGGAACTTGGAAGAGTACTATAATGAACAGCTTGTAATTCTGCATTGCTAATCCCATTCAAACTCCAGCAACTTTGGGACACCATGACAGGACTTGAACAGCACCCCCAGCTGGGCCGTGGTTGGCCGTATAGAGCTGAGTATAATCAACATGTTGATGGTAGTGCCACCAAAACAGCTAGATGATCTCTCATAGTGGTTTCCTATAGATGTTACATCTGAAATAGAACAGGACCAACCCATATGGAACCTTATATTAAAAAGGCCACATATGCATATGCACACACACTCTATATTGCACCATTAACTTTGGTTACAGCTACTGTGAAAAGCACGTAGCTGTAAAAATGCTGCAGTGGTATCCTTCTAGCATCACTCCTAAAAGAAGCTTTAAAGAAAAAACAGATGGTATGGTACTTTTACTGCACAGAGACTTTCACCTCTAACATCAGCAGTTTAGTTTCCATTAACTTCCTTATTTATCAGGAATTTGTACCAGTTGGTTTTAGCTATATGCTACAGTACATATTGGCTATATCTGTTCATTCCACCAGAATATTTTACCCTCTTTTTAAAATTTATTTATTTAAAAGCTAATGGGGGCATTTAAATATGTATCTGGGTCTTTTGGAACGACATTTTTCAATACTCGTGATGCTTTCAAACATACTGGAAAAGAATTGTAATATGCAGCAGACTGGAAGTGTCTGAGATCGAAACAGATTACAAAATTCTGACTAAGTTATGGTCTCCTTAAGTGACCAGTGGATATTTAACACTAGAGGTACATTTAAAGAAAACCTAGAAACATAGGCAGGATACTATCATACCAAATGCAAAAATACTTACAGCCATACATCTTTACTTAACTACTGTTCTATACAAGATCTCCAAATAGAGCATAGGCACTATGCTGCTATCATTATCCCATTTTTTTAAATGTATTTTTTTAGTACTACTTTTTGAAATACCAAGGTCATGTCAAGTTAAAATACTTCAGTGCTGAGAATATAAATACTGTACAGATTTAAAGAACTGTGATTAACAGTTTTAAGTGCTGCATTCTTCTTCATGGGATTGGTGTCTTCTCTATCCTTCCTCTGTGCAAAGTGGTTCTGATTTAACCCTTTGGCTGCCATTTGGGAAAGGTCAGCACATTTCAGCTAGAGCTAGATTAAGATGTTGCACCTTAAAACCTAGGGAACCCTAGGTTCAAGTCCACCCTCAGCTCACTGAGTGATTTTGGACCAGCCATTCTCTTTTGGCCCAGTCTGCTTCAGAGGGTGGTTGTGGTGGCAGGAAATGGCAAAAGGGAACATCATGTATGTCAGTTTAAGCTCTTAAAAGAAGAGGTGGGATATAAATCTAACAAATTACCATGAGATGCATACTGAATAGTTCTTTAGGCTGCTTTTCCTGCAGTAAAACCTATGAGCTACCAGGTGCTGAAAATCCTCTCTGAATCAGTTTTTACCATATCTTGACATCTCAATTCATCAGAGAGAATATGGTCTTCTCCTTACAATCATGATCTAGGGAACTACTAAGAAAACCAGATTAGATAGGTATCTATATTACTAAAATATCCTAGTGAATATTTTGTACAGGTAGTCCTCACTGTCCAACCACAAAAGGGACCGGAATTTAGGTCACTAAGCAGTTTGGTCATTAAGCGAATTGGAGCTGATTTTATTACCTTTTTTACAATGTTCATTAAGCAAATCACCATGGTCATTAAGCAAATCACATAGTTGTTAAATGAATCATATGGTTGTTAAGCAAATCCAGCTTCCCCAACGGACTTTTTTATCAGAATTCACTTAACAACCAAGTGATTCACTTAATAACCATCGTAAAAAAGGTCGTGAATCACGATCACGTGACCATAGGGGTCAGAAAGCACTTTTCCCAAGGCCATTGTAACTCTGGACCTTCATTAAACTGTCATTATGCCTGGACTATCTGTATTTACCCT